CTCTCTCTCTCTCTCTCTCTCTCTCTCTCTCTCTCTCTCTCTCTCTCTCTCTCTTACCTCCCTCCAGGCAAAGCAACCAGACGACGCGACGGCTCCCTTGCGTCGTGCCGTCGAGTGGAACCGTCGCCTTCTTTCCATTTCGTTTGTACACACACGTCGTACCGTCGCATCATGCTGTGTTAGATCCTTTCCTTGTTGCATTTTTTTCGACCTAAACGTCGCCCCTTCCGTCGCCCGTCGCGTCGTGCTGTCGTGCGTCGGGTTATGCGTCGTGTCGTGCATCGCGTCACCTGAAGCACGACGCGACGCACGACACGGGAGGCAAGAGAGAGAGAAAGAGAAATGTTTGTCGTAAATAGTACACCATATTTAAGTCTTTTATTCGTCGCTGGAATCTTTGTCATACGCAGATTTGAATTCCCTCTAATTGTTCTCTCTCGTTGATAGACTTCGTGACGGTAATTTTACAGTTTGGAGCAAACATTCCAGTGGCCTGTATGAAATCCGTTGTCTTTAACACTTCACATGGATGAGAGCGGTGAAAAACTTCAGAAGCTTTTGTCAAAGTTCCCCCAATATTATGGACATTTCCATTCCATGGAAACCAAGAAGGGATTGAATACTTTTGAAATGGCAATAGGCGATTGGAAGTGAGTGTGAGTGGTTTTGACATGAACGTGTAAGATATCACAGTCTATATGGCACATTCCTTTGTCAAGGGCGGATCCAGAGCCAAATTTACCCGAAGGGAGCAATGCTTCTTGGAAAATGGAAACATTTGACATCTTCTTCATGTAATCTTAATGGTCTTCCTCAGGTGGATTTTGTTTAATTTTAGATTTGGAAGATGTCCCCTCTCTTTGTTTTAAAACACCCAAAATCGCCACTTTGTGGGAGGGGCGATGTTTTGTCCCCCCCTCCCATCCCGGATCATTTGATATCTGTGTACCGAACCTTGGAGGTGAGATTCGGTAAAGGTATCCATTTTGGGTGGTGGGTTTCAGCGAAACCCCGTATCTAGAGTGCCAGCCAGCCCCCCTGCCATTGTTCGCTGGTGTCCCGTCCTCTCTTGACATTTCTGACACCCCCCCATGCGGTTGGGATCTGGAACGAAATCATGCCAACAACAAGGTATATCGCTGGCATATCGTGATCGTGAGTGATTTGTCGTGATGGATTTAGGGGTACGTGCACGCAGCGAGATAGGAGAACCGCACTTGAAATGACACAACCCGTCACCAATTCGGGGGGGGGGTGTTACCATCAGTGTGGTTTCTCCTGGCGCACTGTACTTTTGTCTGGTCGAGTTCGGCGGGGTGTCCCTCAGAAAGATTCGGGTGATGGGGGGAAAAACTTCAAAGCCACCGACACACAATCGAACATCCAAAATGAAGTGAGCATCACCCTCCAGCACCTATCTGCAATTATCAGGCGATACGCCGCGTGGGGTGCGGACAGCTACAAAGGCTGATCGCCCATCGAGAGACCCGCGCACAGTATTGACACAGATAAAGCTGTTGGCTCAGCATGTTTGATTTATGTTTTATGCAAATATATTCATCAAAGCTATTATGTGTCTTTCCATGTGTCAAGTTCGAAGTAGGCACTTTAGACTCCAGATAAGCGCGCGTCGCCTCGGTCCACAACACATGGGGATAACAAAAACAACAGTCCACAAACGTCACAGAAATGTCGGTACAAAAATCACCTCGTTCATAACGTCTGTTTCCTTTGGCACTCAACACGGAATAGAAATTATCAAAACTTATTCCTATTTTCGACGCATGGTTGTCAGTCTGAGAGAGAAAAAAGAATCCCATGCCAGATATCGATTAGAGTTTGTACTGTATAACACCAAAGTCTAAGATTAGATACGCAGGCCTAGTTATCTTCGAAGGCTTCCTTTTCTACATGGATCTTAATTCCAACGACTGATCCGGTTTAAAGATGAATTGGTGCCCTATTCAGATATTGTTTTTACGTTACGTTCATTTAGGTTCGTTTGTTTTTAAGTCGGTTACTGGAATAAAATGCTATGTTTGTTGAATGAATTAACTCCATCAGGCTAGGGACAGCATCAAGTAAGTTTTGATTTGTGTTTCTAATCCATCAGTTCACGTTCATGCTGCATTTGGACTTACATAGCAAATCTCTCAGTCTCCCTGGAATGCTTGCTGGATCTTGTGCGTTGGTTGGTTGATTGATTTGCCTACTCGTTAGCCTCTCTGTTTTTTGTTTATTGGCTAGCTTGTTTACTTGTGTGTTTGGTATTTATACGCAGTCTTGAAGGTATCTGTTACATTTTTCATGATCAGTTCTCTCTTGTATGTACATTGCGTTCTGATCTGTGTTCAGAGCACATTGGTTTCTCACCAGATCGATTTCCACACATGACACCAGACTTAGCGCATACATTTATTATAAATGTCCCTGCACATTAGTTTGGAGATTCTCCACACAATAAGCCATAAACTGGTCTTTAAATTGTACCCAACTTCGACATTTAATGTTGTTGCGAACCAGTTGAACTTTTGGAGTCACTTGACTTGTTTGTTCTTTTGTCAGACTCTGCGTTGTCACGACCCCTATCAAAAGTCGTTGGCGTTTGACCATCTCTCTGATAACTGTTTACATTCCTACATGTTTATTATCTCCCTTCGTTACTAAAGGATACTGCGTCCCACGCTCCTGTTAATTTGTAGAACTGTTTGGTCTTTTCACGCATTTTCGAACTGAATCTGCTCGTTGTCTTCACGGGGTACCGCAACTTCCAGCTTCCAGCTTTTTCCCCCTCTGATTATAGTACTGGAGGTTGCGACAAAGAATAAACAACCTGATAATGTCCATTTAATTGTTCAAAGTGTTTAATAAATCACTTACGTCACCATAGAAAGACAAGGTAGAACTTAAAGCGCTCGAAATATGTACATTATTTACAAAACACTCCGGGCTGAAACAGTATAAAGACGCAACTTTAAAGACACAAAATGATACACCATTGAAACATTATCCTCGACCTTCAAAAACCACGGCCATGAGCAGTATGGAAACATTGATTTTTTTCTACCAAGGAATTTTGCTAGCTCCTTGGCCGAGAAACAAAAATCTTCATACGGTAACCACTACTTTCCACATTCTGGACAGTTTCTACATAGGACTGTTAGGAATTAAGTAAATAATTGGAGATTTGTACTCTTTCACTGTCTAAGGAGATACTTTTTAATAAATTAAATATTACATCAAAAATAAAGCACGCGTTCTACTCTTCAGATGTTCGAATAAGTGACGTGATTCTCTCTTTAAGTTCAAGATGTCAGAGAAGATGAGTTTGGAAATCACAGCTTGAGGGAGGGTCAACTCACAGCTCAAATACCACTGGGATCAAGGATTTTTCATTTAAAGAAAATTATTCTCCAAACAATAACCTAACTTCTCCTTTAAGCACATACATGTAATTCCCCTTATACTCAAAATCGTAATTCAATTTTCCATTAGTTCCAAACAGTGTGAGCCATGTGCTGTCACCTGACACAAAGCCAATGGAAAGTTTCATCCTTTTCACCCCTAGTATGGTGGCAGGTTATTAACTTTCGAATACACTTCGTTAAGGTATGTTTGGGCCGAGAATCTTCGCCACAACTGCACCATACTCAAGATGCGAGACTGCCGAAGAGGGTTCGTCATGAGTAGCTATCACTCAATGTAAATTGACGTCGTGATGCATTGAACTTTGTTTCCACAAGGTTCGAGTTGGGTCTCGAACGGCAATTGACTTTAGGTATTTAAAAATCGTTAAAAATTACTGCTGGCTAAACTTTAAATCATTTATACACTGCAATCGGATTTTTAAATTTAGAGTTCAGGTTTTTGAGATGTAGGTTTCAAGAGGATTGATAAAGACATAAACGCAAAAATGTCACAAATCCAATTTTACTTTTGTGAGGAATAGCCTATGTTGAAGTATAGACAGGCAAAGAACACAGTTTTAGGGTTGGGGCCATTTGGTTTTAGGGGTGGCAAATGTGAGTTTTTAATGCGACCTTGTTGACCTTTCTGAGAAAGGAAGAGAAATTACATAGTCCAAATCATCGCCCTTCATTACACGCACAAAAGTTGCCTCTCTTTGCGCATGGTCCTGTCCCCTACCATAGCGCTACAAATATGCCCCTACCCTCCCGGATCTGCAAACGTCGACAGGCTGTGTGAACGATGGCCGGATCACGTGTTACCCTCAAAACACACGCAGCTGTTGTGGGGCGGGATGTCTCTTTGGGCAAAGACATAACACTCTTGACCTTCCACGAGACGTGGGACCAGTGACCGGCCGTGAGCCTCGCGCAGGTTCAGGCGGCAGCTGTGAGCCTTCAGCATCTGACTTGGGCCCATCGCGCAGTGCAGGTTGCGCCTATCTATTGTTGGTGGGGGGGGGTTTCATCCAAACTGTAGTCAGTTTGCACGTCATCAGACTTTATTATAAACGCAAAATTAATAAAATCAAGGGCTACGTTGTCCCATGTGTCCAATTTAGAAAATAAAAAATGATTCCCTGGTTTATACTGCGTGAAAGCCCATCCAGACGCGTTTCTATTCGTATAGATTCTTGGAGGAACTTTACGTCTTTGATACCAATTTGTCAGACGGTGCACTATAAATCTGCACAAATGTAGAAGAAGCTCAGAGTACGTAAGATTGGGCTCTGCACAGCTGAAGAACAGTTGTAAAACTGTGGCTTGATAAAGTGTCCTCCGCAGGGATGTTTTGGGAAATTCACTGAAAAAGAAAGAATCTTTAAAATGCAACTTGGAATTGCTCTACATTTTGGTCAATGCATTCAGCTTGAAGAAAAGGCTTTCGAAATGACACCATTAGCACGACAACCTACACCGTTAACACCAATATCAAAGCAGTTCATTTGACTGAGCAGGAGCGACAGCAAACGTGCACTGACTAGGAGTTAATACGGCAAATGGGGGCGTAGCCGTTAGGCGATAATTACAATTTTTTAATTGGTCTTCAGGGATCTGACCTGTTGACCTCTTCCTGCCAAGTGCTGAGGTTGCCAAAATGCATTCACTGAGCAGACTTGAGTACTGTTAGGCAGCGTATACTGGGTGTAAACTCCCTACAGCCTCAAGAGATTACGCCAAGCCTCTTGATATCAACCGTTCGGATCTCTTTCCAAGATTCTGGAATCATTTGTCCCCGACACCGTGGACGTTCCCCCTCTCCTCGGCCCCGGGGATCCGGGCCGTCACGCCGCCCAGTTCCGCCTCGCTCTTCTCCCCTTCCGGCGAGCCCGTCCCTTCCTTCTTGTTCTCCTTCTTGTACTTCATGCGACGGTTCTGGAACCAGATCTTGATCTGGCGCTCGGTTAGGGCGAGTTGGTGGGAGAGCTCGATGCGCCGCCGTCGCGTCAGGTAGCGGTTGTAGTGGAACTCCTTCTCCAGCTCCAGGGTCTGGTAACGCGTGTACGTCTGGCGGCAGCGCTTACGGCCCACGTCCATGCCGGCAACAGTGCCTGCAGCACGACAAAAAAAATATCAAATTCATAAGCTAAGTCTGCAGGAAAAAAGTGAACAGCGAATTACTGTGCGACAGCAGAGGAAAACAAACGCATAGATTATCAGGGCACCTATATAACAAGGTGAATAGGACAGTTCCAAACTTCTCTATTTCAACTCTATCCAGTCACCTCAACAAGAAACGTCCGCAGTGAGGTTTATTCTGGGCAAATCTTGACCTGCAACGGGTCACTCGTAACTGTCACTTGGGATTTCGATATCCTTCAAAACAACTTCAAACCTCCTTGGAATAGGCGAGGTGTCTTTCTACTTTCTAGCTGTACGGGCAGTCGTATATAGGCTCAGTTCTGCTCCACAACCCCATCTAAACTTATCTGGACTATTTTGGAGGATTTTAGATATTATTTGACATGTGGCAATCTTATGTTCGAATTCCGCGTCTCCCTCATCAGTAATGTCGCATCCGACAAACGAAGGTTTGGTGATACACGAATAAAGTTAGGGGGGGTCACCTCGGATGAACTAAAAGATTTTGGGAGACCCATATCCTCGGACCTGAATAGCACAGAGAGCGGACAGGCGCCAGGCTCCGCAGCCCAGCGACTCCGGACACGTAATGGATATCCAGCGCTCCGTCCAGATTGGGTTGTCACAGGAGGACCCCACACAAAGACTCTTCGAATTTAGGATCAAGGGATTACATCTCAAAGCAACAATAGATGTTTACGGTAGAAGCTTGTACTATATAAAGGCATGTGTCGTCTGCCATATTCCATGGGTCGTTTAAAGGGCGAAACGAACACTGGTGAATAAGTGTGCGTTGATGATGTTTTCATCCCATGAAATGCATCTAAAACATTGTACAGATTAGTTTTTTCCATTATGCACCAAATTCCGTTTTCCATGAGTTTCGTTTGTTGACCAAAATGGCTGTCAAAGAGGCCGCAAATTATACTAACAACAAAGTCGTCCGTGCGTCGTGACTACAATACGACAGCTGATGGGACACAACAAACGTTTAATAAGAAATACCTATGCTGGTCAGCTGTTTAAAACCATTCACTTTCAGAAAGGGTCAAAATATTTATAGCTGTCTTGCCATTATCTCTGTTTTCAGTTGGAACTATACTGCTCCGCTACGTTAGGGATAAAGTTTTCTAAACCACTGTTTTGTATTTTTGTTACTCTGTAGACTAGTGCTGTAAGATTTTGTCATCTAAGAAGTAACTGGTAAAAAATTATAGGGTAGTGGATAAAACTTAATTAACCTCAAACTTAATCCCTTAGTTATTTCACCTCCCGACCAGGTAAAGCCTTTGTTTTATTGACACCGAGCAAATCTTATTCTGCTCGTTTATAACAAATGCTATATGCTGCCCAGCTTAGTATGGGACTGACCGGCACTTTTTGTTAATGGGATTTTTCGCTCATGCAACCTGCGGTAGATGACAACATCACAGGTGGATTGAAACAACCGTGTGGAATTATTAAAAGTCTAGGAGGGTGCATTTATCAACCCTGGTCAGTGTTCTTCGATTCATACCGCTTGATTGATTGTCTCAGCTCGATGACTTGTTGTGCGGGCATTTACCGATGAACAACCTTTATGAATGACATTTATTTTGAGCAGACATGTCATTGTCACTGCTTCATCATTGCTAACCAGTTTAACGAAGAGGATGCATCTTTCGAGGAAGAACTGGTTAGTTTGCTCTGTAACTGTGGTCTTTTCTTAGGCTCCGTATTTAAATAGCCTCTGATTTACCTAAAAGACTCCAGAAACGATTAAAAAAATTCGTCATAGATAGTTGGAAAACTGCCCCTTTCAGTTAAAGCTTGCGCCCCGTGGAAATATGCAATTAGGGTACCAATCTCAACATGGGTACCAGTCTCCACATGGCTGCTGAATCTGAACGCAGAGCGGAATTTATCCTCAATGGACTTTATTAAGAAAAAAAAGAGGAAAAATGGGCAAATAACCTTCTTCTATTAATATTAGCGTGTCACATGGAAAGTTTCACCTAACGGTGGGAGTTGCACCCCCACCCCTTCCACTTCAGTGTTCAGATACAATTATGGATCGAAACATTGGCTTGAGGCTCTTAAATTTATTCTCAAATTGCCTCTGAATGTGAGAAAGTATCGTCGATTTCACTACATTTCAGGTCAGGAGCACCACAACACATAGGCCTATACCCCGTTTCTGACCATTTCCTAAAGGCCAAAACCAGCCTCTGCACCACGACAATTTGGAGAATACTGGCCTCATGTTGACTTCGAGTGGTCTTGTTTTAAAATTTAGGTCAGTTTTCGGGTGGGAGTGTGATTGACCTCAAAGCGTTCTGTGAACGTGGCTTGCATACACTGCATGTGCTAGACTGCTGATTAAGTTTCATACGATTCCCTATATGAGTGCAAATCCCTAAAACGAACACAAGTGACATGTGTGAAAGGTACGCTATAAAGCCTAACTAGCAACAAGTAACACTGAAATTATTCAACTATTAAACAAAAATTAAATTCTAGTAAAAAAGATAGAATTGTTGTAAACTATTGTTTGCCTTTACGTCACCTATCACCCAGTCGTTTTCATTGCAAATGAAATTTTATGGAAGTGCAGCCCCTGTTAGCTTGCTTTACCCGCCATTCACAATTGTCTAGAGTTTATAGTAACTTGAAAAAACCACATGACATGAACTACCAGCAACAACACCAGAACCTGGTTTGGGTCTTGTTTTAGAAACTTGGCACAGATAACAGAGCCCAGTAACCACTGGCAAAACAACGGGAAGCACAAGGCGTCACAGGCCGGTCTGTCTGCCCCGCTACCAACGGGAAATACCGGCGTAAGACTCCGGTGTCTCACCCCTCATCGGAAACGACATCTTGGTCAAGTTTACACCATGAGATAGTAAGTCAGGATATGCAATATTGATTACCGGACGATTGACTGGAATTCGTTTGTATCTACCGGTGGAGGCTCCGTCGTGCGGATGTCATACACAGTGCTGTTGGTCAGGACACGGACTGGCAAGTGAACCACGGGGTTTTTTTTGAGGGAGTGATTTGCTTCCCATAGGTGCAGACCGTGAACATTGGCAAAGGCTCGAAATGAAATGGAAAAGATTGAGTGAAATGGGGTACATGCAACCTGCTATCCATCCATCGTTCAACAAAAACACACGTGTAGTACGTGTACCGGTATACAGTAATCCTTTGTGGGGCAGAACGGTGCTGTGTAGCCAAAATATTGGCACTGTTTACTTAAAGTATCATAACGCTAAAACAGAGCAAAGAAGGGACCCCCTAAAAAACCCCTCTTCGTTGATTTAAAGGTAGATTATCACAGCTTTCAGTGCGGTTCTCCCGTTGTTCAATTTGTGATTGCTATGAATTAAGGCTTTAATTTCATGTGCAATAATTTAATAGTACCATACTATCTCGATCAATCCGTTAATTGTACGTAATCACACAAGTTCAGCCACTGAACAGGACCAAATTTAGGCATGTATTACAAACCGAACACTTTCAAAAGCAAAAAAAAAAGAACCAAAGAACAAAAAAAAAAATATCCCATCCTTTAGGGTCACACACAATTTGATCAGTTCCAGACTAAAGACAGTGAATGACACAAAACTCAAGTTCTGCCCTCCTTCTTAACAAGCCTTTGGCTTTGTTGAAGATTCAAATCACATACGCTGGCGGTATTTTAAAAAAAAAACACACGAAATGTCTGAACGGGCGACAAAAAGTAGACTACTTGACATGACACGCAACAGAAGACCTTGTTCAGTAGGAATGATATATTCATCTGAAATGATACTAAACCGTTCGACTGGCACCTCCAAGCAAGAAAATTCAGGTCTGTATGTCGCCTTCACCGTCCGCAAGCGGTTTCCAAGGCATTAGGAAGCTCGGCACAATTTACGGACCGATCCGATTTTCCGGACGTGGCGCCAAATCTGAGCGTTTAGCGCGCGGGCGACTGCCCAGTAATAATCACCGAAAACCCTGCGACGTTTGTTTTATGGCAGTGGTCAAGTAAACACTTCAGGAGTTGTGCAACAGTCTGTCTGAAGTGCCCAGCCGAACTCTGTCTGAGTGATAGGGGTATGGGAAGGCTAGTTGTCAGACTATACACAAGTGACGCTCTCAATGACCCAGTTTTGAAACCCTGTTCTAACTCTAGTAAGGCTTTTATTCTTACTCTCAACAGCACGGAGAATGTTGATGAGTTACCATCCAAAACAATGACGTGTACTGAGTATGATTGCCAACGAAGCAAATTACAAGTACATTTACTACTATCTTTTAATAAGCCTGTCTAACGGTCAGATCAAACAATTCTGTTCGCCTAGCAGTCACCAGCCATGGGATAGAAAGTAAATACGATTAGGTCTTCATCGTTTTCTTCAAATAATGGAAGCTTGACTCTGATGCAATTCTTCCTGAGAGGACTTAGGCGGGGGCGTAGTACGCCCCCGTATGCAAGTTAAGAGGTACGCCCGGCGTACCTCTTAACTTGCTCTTAATCTATAACCCATTTGGAAAAGATTACTCGAAGGGAAGACACAATGTTCATAAGGACTGTTCTATCCGTTCCACATTTCCTTTGGAGAGGGAAGGACATTGGCCTTACAAGGTATTAACCGAGTATAGCACTAACCATTTCCCACTTTCGTACCCAACATTTGTAGTTGGAGGGTGGGCGGTGGTTGGGACCGGAATTTCCCCCCCCCACTACACTGAAGCCTCCCCCACCCCGGTTGCGCCGCGGGGACTGGGAAGAATACGGCTATACCCGAGTTCAGCTAGTGTAGATTCAGGTGTATGTGTACGTTGTATCTCGGTTTTTCAGGATTTTTTTTATTTTAATTAAAAATCTCTGGGGACTCAAGCTCCCCCCCCCCGGAATCACAGCTATTATCACTAGCATTCGGCAATCCTGCTGCATGCGGGGAATCTTGAGTTTTTTTTCTTTTTGGACAGCGTTTACTGACGCCCTCTGTGTTCCATGGTCTAGGTTCCAGTCGTTCTGTGCGCCAGAGCCTGTTTCTTCTTTGTGCGAACGCGAGAAGCAAAGCGAGCTGAAGTGACGACGTCAACGGCGATGTTAGCTACCAATTCCCCTATACTTCAATTTCCTCAACAGATTGCAGTAATTCTGCTTATACATGTTTATTACTCGCTCAGGGTCTCTAAACTGTGTTGAACTATTTTTATTTAAAGGCCAAAGGTCGGTATCAGACTGGTAACCGTTCCTGTACTTCGTTTCTTTATCGAGCATACAGAAACATGCTAGATAGCCTTTTTAAAATTCAAACTGTAAATAAGCACGGGTGTACATTGTGTTCGCTTCAGCCACTGGTGTACCTCGTTTCTTATTTCCTAATAGTCAGAAAAAAACGTAATCCACACTCGATGTAAGTTACATGTACATGTAGTGAAGTTCGTCTTCGTGTATATATTCATTTTATGCATACTATTACAAACGAGAATGGGTAATATATAATTCTATTTACAGTAATACCGAGCCGGATATCTTTCAAAGTGGAGCCGCAGTCGACAAGCTGCCGGTTTAAGCATAAGCGCAGTAGCTAAAGTCTCCACTCGACAGCCGACTTATCCTTCAATCATGAAGTTGATATGCGTTTGACAAACTCGAGGCGGGCCAAGAGCTGGCTTCCGTAAATCACTGTTTATATAACATGGGTATTTATTGTGGTGATGAGCTAAACCACACCCGGACAAAAATATCCGGTCAGGGCGAACAATGAAGTGGTAAAAGGAGCATATGTAAACATAGGTGGGGGGGGGGAGACGCAGACCCTCAGCAGTATCGGGTCTATCAAGGATGTGCATTACAGAATAGCAATCACTTTTGGTTTATGCATTTCGATGAGACAACTTTATGACGAGTTTGGCGAGCTTTATTTAAATGTGAACACTTCAAATAACTCTCAAGCACACGCTGCGTCGCGTTTAACAAACCGCGAAAAAAATTCAGATATTAACTTGTCCTAGAAATGCGCTCATGTATCGGAGATGTGTGTGAAGGCATGATCAAAATGGTTGTCAATTAAAGTGGGATAATTAATATGTACACGTCTACAACTTACACAGTAATTATGACAACCAAGAATCTGTTCCTCTGCGCTGATTAAATTACAGGTTGGCTACCAACTAGAACAACGGTATAGTTTCTCGCCATTCGCTTTTGACCTTTTTGTCCAAATTTCTTCAAGAGTGGATTACAATAGTTGGCTTCTCTTCCAGCTTAAAGAAATTGTAGCCATTCGACAATGATGTAACAAAGACTTCATAGAATAAAGGAAAAATACATTTTGTTAAATCAGACATGAAAATTAAAATTATTTCACCATTTAAGATCACTTTGATCGCAATCCAATTTCTACAGTACTCGACCCCAACGCTCTGACGGTTGCAAAATGATCTTGACCCGCTACAATAAACATTTCGACACTATTATTGGGTCTCTGTTACAGATGATAAAAAATGTAACAACCATTACCGGCCAATAGTGAACCTCTTTGCGAGCACTTGTATGCTGCAAGTTAACCAACTGCAGTCGCATTGTTCACCGAGTAATAAATCGCAAAATAACATGGCATGCAGAATTTTGCGGAAGGATTTTTTCGGACAAGATCAGTGTAATTATAACGATGTGATCCGCAGTTTCTAATTACTAAGACGACGAAGCAATGGACCGCGTTACGAGCAAATCACTTGTCGTAAATTTACTCACAATGGTCTCGTCTGTCGGTTTTACCCATCAATATCAGTCACGGAAAAGGTTACTTCGACCATCCTCACTTCTTGTGCCGAGTTGATACCGTGATTAAGATATTATAGTAACATTAATTTTTTTTCAACTATCTGTCGTTGCACTAACGTCGTTAGATATTTCAATGTTTTTGATAAACTGTTCATGCTTATCTTTCAAGAAAGGGCAAATGGTGCGAAGCAATTTCCAAGTTGGACTTACTGGGGTGATTAGATTTCTTCCTTGTCTGATTGACTACACTGCAGGTAATGAGGGAAATAAATTAGGGCACTACATGTATAGGAAAAAAATGAAGTCTCGTCTCATCTTCACTTTCAAGCACAGGTTGATTTGGACAATTTGTGGTACATGCCGATCAAACGTAGAGAGCCAACTGCACCAACCAAGCCCCTTGTACGCCTTGAAATCTCCAGCCGTATTTCCATCACTCAGGCCGGTACTATGCAGTTGCTGGCGGCCTCGGGGTTAATCATCTGTTATTTTTATGGAGTCGTAAAAAAGGCAAAACTGCCCTACGCGTAGAGGGCTGTCGACGGTGGATGGGGTTGCACTACACGGGTGTGCATGCAATAGAGACGGAGCGCACCACCAGCGCCAATGCCCACCCACGAGAAGGGGAGCACATTCATCACTCCTCGCGTATTTTCAGCGGGATTTGTCACTAGACAGGCCGCGTGACCTCTCTTAATCCAATTTCCCCGAGTGGCATTTTCTTTTTGCTTGGACGTCAAACATTTTGACTTTGTCCTCTGAATAAATTCGGCGCGATCATCACTTCATCGATACATAACAAAATCTATCAACGGATAAAAGCGACCTTTCTTTTCAAACCGAAGGAATTTCTAGCCAGGGTCTACTATGTTATACATTTGCGCATTAATTAATTCTTCATGACAGGAGTATGGATAGAAAGTGGATCACGTAGTGAGAGTTGGCACAAGATTCAGGTCATAGGGTAAGAGTCCAGACCTAATTAAGCGATATGAAGGATTATTGGGAAGTTTAACTACACCGAAAGATTGCTAGTTGGTGAGAGCTTAAAAGAACATGTGAATCAATCTTATTAATATACTCGCAGCATATGAGATAAAATGTTACAGTCCACTTTAAATTGATGCATTTTTGCTGTAATTGTCGCTTTGCCGTAGAGTACCACATTCGATCAGATGTGTATGTGAAGCATGCGCACCACAACTTAATAAAGTGAACTCGGAGCATTGAGTAGAGGGTCCGTGTCTATACATGTAGATAGTCCATAGTTGATGTTGGAAAACCCTGGCAAGTTGTCCAGGATCAGTTTGTCTTAAGTCGAACCATGCAGCCATACTGAACCGAATTATCGACACCTTTGAAAGCAATGAGTTGCTGGCACACGGAGAACAAATACATCGTCAATCAAATCTTTAAGAAATGATGCTTGTCTACAAATGTGTTTCCTTAATCTTAGTTAGGATCTTAATTTTCTGACATAGGCCTCTGTTCGCAACACTGTAAACATCAGTTTACAACTTCGAGAGTGCAATGATGAAAAACACCCACCTGCAACATTCATCCAGGGGAAATTTGAACTGCTCCCTGAAACCATGGAGTTGTGGCAGTTGTTATTGAGTACATCTGACTGTGAGCTCGGTGAGAACACCCCCATGGTTCCTGAGTGCTCCTTCAAGTTGTACGAGGAGTCCAACTCGGCCGTGTTGCCTGGCCAGGAGGTGCCGTAGGACGGGAGCCGGGCGTCCCACGAGGTGATGGGCGAGGCCGCGCTCTGGTTCAGCGTGCCGTACACGTTGCTGGCAGCGTTGACACTGTGGGGCTCATAGGACCCGTGGAACGCGTTGGCGCTGGTGGCCGGGGTGCTGAAGTACCCCGGCGGCTGCTGGTGGTGATTCGACACGCCGTTCATCCCCCCGCCGAGGTTGCCCGAGTTGTAGGAGGTCTTCTGTGTCTTGCTGTAGGCGCAGGACGGCAGTTCATAGCCGGACGGGTAGAACCCTTCCCCCGGCTGATACTTGGAGAACAAAGTGTTGACGAAATACGAACTGGAATTCATGACTGCGACACTAAACTCTCTCTGGAAAAACTGCAATGTTTATAAATATTATAATATCACAACGTGTGAGCAGCGAGAGGCGAATACGGTCCGTTGTTGTCAGGAAAGTTTACGCTAATGCAATGTGATCCAGTCACATTAGATCCATTTATTTCAACGGGTGCCATTCACATCTAAGAGAAGTGAGTGTGTCCTCGTTCAGCCAATCATTTTCATTCAGGCTACAGCTTGCACGCTCACATTCCCCCGGGTGCGCTGTTGTTCAGTAGACTGGAACTAGAGTTCCGTTCAATGGTTCCACTGAACTGGGTGCGTATTAATTAAACTCGTTGTGAAACCTATCACAGTGTGCATCTGTGAAGAGGTTGTCGATGTGCCATTCTGGCGAACCGCCGAGGTCAATGGTTGAAAGGCAAAAAAGAGAGGGACAGATATATAAATATATATCAGCCGTACTAGAAGAGGCGGAAATTCGTCACGGCAACAGGCCAGGTTTGTCAGAATTCCTATTTCGTGGAAACAAAGGTTTGGATTACCTCTGTAAAAGGGATTGGTGATTGTTGTCCCACATGGTGCAGTCGCCCGAAAAGAAATATTGCGTCATGAATTTCGATTCAAAACATCAGCTCTCCCCGAATTCTAGAACAAGTACGAGTGCTTGACGTCGAGTGTCATTGGTCGCTGAACTAAGTTAGGTGATAGTTTTCCAATTTTAACCTGTCCATGTCCTGAGGTCGTTGGGAATGTGTTTTGTGTTCTTTGTAAATAAACCAATTAGCCAAAATGTAATTCAGGGGAACAGTATAATTAAGTCTTAATTGCATTGACCAAAATATAAGAACGAAATTGTAGTATAAAAATATGGAGTTGCAAATTGATGGGGATGGATTGTGAAGGAGGGGTGGAACTTTGACACGCAAGAACTCGAAGGTTTTTCGTTGCAAACAATGAGAGGCTAACCGAAATCATTCATTCTATATATGTCCAACGCAATGCGACGATATCGCTCATGTAAAGGAACGCTTTCTGTCTAGAAGCTATTTTATCCGTTCACAGTCGTAGTAACTTTGAAAGCAGCACTGGCTGTGGGTTTTATTCAGTTTTTGTTTGATAGTATATTATTTCTTAGGTTTGATCCAAGGTGAGTTGGGGGTTAAATGTCCTGCAGTTTGCATGGACCTGTCACGAAAGACTGGACATATTGGATCATGTGGTATATCGGGAGTGAATGCGCGCGCATAAGTGATAAGATCCAATCAAACAGCTTTTTAGGGAAAATGAAGTTAAGGACACCTTATGCTGTATGAGGGGAGTTAGGTATGTTCCACGTCCTTGAAGGCCTCATTGTATACAATTTTGCCTCCATTCTTTAAACTCTGGTGCTTTAAAATACAAAAATTGCTTTGTAAAAAGACGACTTGGAAAGATTATAGGAGCAAGTTGGAAGCTCCAGTCCTACCCTCATATATACCTCAGCCCCTCCCACTCAAAAATGTGGGTGCGGATTTACAGTCAAACCATAAAAAACTCAGGTTATTAGTGATAAAAAATGGCTTAGGATAAATGTTTAGTGTTTGCAAGTTTTATTTGTTGACCTGATTGTTTTGAACTCATTTGCATGACTCAGGTCCCTTTTGCAGGGGCGGGGTCATGCACGTCGGCAAGCTGTTCCCAGTGCATGGTGCGGCAGATGGCATACCATAGGGCATTGCAGAGGGTCAGTGCTGATGCACTTTAAAGAAACGGGTATTCTTCCTCCCGTTAGTCTCCCCCCCCCATATTCCCTGGAGGTGCCCCTCCCCCGCAACGCCCATTGGACGTGACTCAGTTTCTGGACTGGAAGTTGGCTCTTCAAGCAACATTAACTTCTTTCCTTCCAAATTCGGAGCGGCGGGCAGGGGGAGGGGCGCAGGCCTCGAAGGGGAGGGGGTCGTTTTATGCCTATCAGCAAATGCAGTTTCATTCGTCTTAACTTTTGTGTTGAATATTCTAATTACGAGCCTCTGTGCACACTTACGTACCAGTGGCGTAACCATGGGGGGGGGGACACGTTCCCCCCTTCTAGTAGAGACCCGTACCCCTCCCCATTTGAAATTTTGAAATGTACACAGCCGATATTCAGGCAGTAATTCATCGGTTTTCAGTGCTCCCGAAACAAAAAACAAACAAAACAAAAAAACAAAAAGCCCCCACGAAATTACTCTCGTTGCGCCACCATTAAATCACAAATAGCACTCCCAAACAAATAGTCCCACGGCTGTACATCCCACTGCTTATTTTAGCCTGAGTGGAGGTCACCACCAACGCTGCACCTAAACCTGCACGGAATTTCACTTGAACTTTGATACAATTGTGAAAGTTCGGCAACCACTGACGCAGTTCCGCACAATGACAGAAATAGCACCATCATAGCATCCGCTGAGGACTGGATAGTTATAGGTAGGTCCTTGACCATGGACGACAGGAAAACTGTTTAGGCGAATAGGAGATGATTGGGAATTTTCTCCCCAATTTTGTTTGAGTTGAACTACCTACCTGAACCCCGCCCCCAGTCGTCGGCGTACCATGTCCTGCAAAATCTTCCCTTGACATTTGTTTGTTTGTTTTTTGTTTGTTGGGGGGGGTGTTTGTTTGTTTGTTTGTTTTAGAAAATAAGTTGTTCCACAAACCTACTAATTTTGCACAGCTTTCATTTTCCTCCAGCATGCGGGTGATTTTATGGCTGCCAAAACGTGGTTCTTGGATCCCCAGACGCATGCGCATTTCTGGCTGTTATAATTTTAGCTGGGGTTTCATGGGAGAGGCGACTAAGGACAAGCACTTTTATAATACGCATACGACACCGTCGGACAAAACGGTTAGCTTTAAACATGTTATTATGTGCACTCAAAAAAAGTTGCTGATTGGATATAGAGGATCACAGTTCTTAAGAGATTGAGAAAACATCAGTATAAGTATTAGAAAGCAATTCCTTTTTCTCGATATTTCTTTCTTTAATTTTTCGAATTTATTGCTAGTTCGCTCTGTTGCTTGTCTAAATTTCACATATTGCTCATTTTTTGTTTGATTTCATTTCTTTTTTGGAGGGGTTTGGCTTTATTTTCTGAATACTTTGATCAGTCTGTTTTACTGTGCGTGAAATTACATTCAAGATTAAACGAAGGGCATGCAGATTGGTGGTCTGTCTATACACATTGATGTTAACGAGGCCTCCAAAGTTAAAGGGGAACTTACCAAATTTATGAGACGATGTTGCCATCGAAAGACTCAAATCAACAGATGATGGAATCGCTTATATAGCATTCCATACAACGGATAGATCTATGAGCCCCAGGGTAAAATAAAATAACGGGATTTTTTCGGGAATTAAATGCTTTATGGTTTTATGTTGTACAGTTCCCAAAGCGGTTAATTTTATGAAGACCCCGTAAAAATACATTTTCTTTATGTATTAAGTGAAATACCGCAAATGATTTCTGCTGTTCAATAATAACTGTTTCAAGTGATTTTTGTGCGTTTCCTTGTGTGTAATGTTATACCCTCGATCGTCATGTTTCTTTGATGTAGTAGCATACCCACGGGGGACAGAGTAACATATCTCCCCCACCAGGGGACATGGTTTTTTTTTTTATTTAAGGCATCTGAATCACCAACCGATAAATGTCTTTGCTGACACCCTCAAATCCTTTCAATCGCTTTGCGCCTCTTCTGGACTCAAAACCTGGAGACACTCTAGGTCTGATGACGTCACACTGCTTGTGCTGCCCTCATTCACATTGATTCCCTAATTACTGGGTACAAAGTGTTGTAATAGTGAGTTAAAGACTAGTAGATACACAACATGCCTCCATCCCATTCGCTTGAACTGGAAAGCTTGGACAATGGTTTCAATGTTATAAGCGCACTGTTCACTATAAGGCTTAATACCTAACCCCAAAATGATTTCTAACAGTATCTGTACATTAAAGAAGAATAGCCAGATTCACAAAAATTTGGTCTGGGAAAAATTCATCACTTACACCGTGGAGATCTCCTTTTCCGCCTTTTCAAGAACAGCACTGTCCCCATCACCCCGTTCATTATCGAAGTCTTCCAGTCTTCTTTTTGAACGGCGACAGGTGAATACCGCATTAAGATTGTCGTACTTTATTTTCCCTCAGATTCGTTCAAACTGTACTTTTGTCTCATAAATTTTGAAAAAGGTTGTATTTTCAATTACTTCTTAGTAGTACATGTATCTGGTGTTTTGATAGCAGTGTTTGATTTTTAATTATAATTTGTGAACTATTTTTTTTTACTTTTGTACTGTCCGCCGGCCATTCTTTTTCACTTGTACGAAAATCCCGTTTGTGACGAAAAATGAGCAGATCTTACAGTCCTTCTTTACGAAACAAAAAAAAGGTAATGTTTGGAGCACTGTGTATTTTCAAGAAGGGAAGGGAAAAAGAAAAGGAAAGATACACTGTCGAGTCATCAAAACATCGGGTTGGAAATGTGTAAGCTGCTTGCCTAGCGAGGGCGCTCATTCAAATAAACCTGGATGACGTCACATTGACGATTGGGCGCGTGTCCGCACATCCTCTGAACGTGACATTTTAAGCAGGATTTTGAGGGCAATGAGGATGTAACATGAGGATTTACGTTTGTGCTTTTACTGCCTCGCAATCAGCAATAAATGCTTCCTGTGTTGCAAATGACGATCAGAAATGGAATGCAGCAAGTTAATGCAGAATCATCGGGAAGTCATGGTCGACTAAATGTCTGTGTTTCCGACAATGAAAAGTAAAAATCAGTTCAATCACGAAAGACGCTTACCGTTTCTCATATTCATTAATAGGAGTAATACTACAGGTTTTCTCGGACGATTTTTATCACATAAAAAGTTCACTAATTAAAGATGTCACAATTCTTTATTCTTTTATTTTTTTTATTAAAGGGTCTATACAGTTCAATTGTGTTAGCACAACACTTGAAAATACTCTGTGTTTATTAAAACTTATTTCTAAGTTGTTTGCTATCTTAAGAGGAATTTTGGAGCCTTCTTGGCTGATGCGAATTTCAGTATTCCTGACAAACTGTGATCTCTTTCCCGGGAAAAACGTCAATGTTGCATTGATTTGTGCTAGAATGCAGCATATTTTCCTGTTCTATTTTCGTTGGTGAATAATTATCATATGAGTACTTAGCAATGAGCCATTGAGCAATCTCTTCACAAAAATGCTATCAATCAACAAATTTTGAGCTCAAGATTGGAACAGAAAATCCTGAAAACTGAGAGTGCACTGCCTGGAGCAGTGGTGGCCACTCCCCTCCCCCAAACGAAAAAAAAAGAGTGTTAAATCCCCCAGGTTTAACCTCACACATCAGAAAGGCCACAAACAGGTGACATGAAGAAATATGCCCCCTCCCCAAAAAAGGTTCTTGGTTCACCCTTGACTGAG